ATGGGCACCACTACCCAGAGGCTAAGAAGTCCACAGACCTCCTTACACTTTAGATCAGCCAGATGATTCATCTCATGTGGGCGAGAACCCCGGGTGCCAGTGGAACATGCTTGCACTTAGTTCATCTCTTCATTGCTGCACCTCCCCTACTTACAATCATTTAATGGACACAGGCGGTCACTTAACATCAGGTCTTTACTCACCATCTCTCTTTAACTTCTAATCCTAGAAGAGAGTTCTGATGAATACTGACTTGTCCTGCCTCAATAAATCCAGCAGCTAGCTGCTTCAAGGCTCTGGGTGGAGCTCTCCAATACTTATACAATGTCTGGGAGTCACAAAGGCTGTAGCTAGAAGGGCCACATTAAGTAACTGCATCATACCCACACCTAGTTAGCAGGTCACTTTAGAGGGCAGTTTCAATTTGACTCACATACAAAATCTTAGAATAGGATTAGAAAACATTTGTGGAAACCTGGACACCTGCCAGTCTTTGCTATAGACCTCTATATAGGATAGGCTAAGTGCTCTCTTTAGGTTTCCAGTGTTTTTTCTAAATGTAAAAGTTCTTCCTCTCTCAATTTGTAGTAACAAATCATTCTGTAAGCCTTGTTTTCTTTATGAAATTAACTGAGTATTAAGTGCTATTGCAAGGCTTTCAGATTTCACAGAAGTACGATGTTGTTTGGTGCCCTCAAGCATAGTAATCCCAAAAGAGCTGATATCTCACAGTGAGGAGTTGCACTGACAAATGCAGGTGGTTCAAATTCACCAGCGGATCTGAGGGAGAAAGAGGAATAATCTCCTCCCATGTGATTTACAGTCTCTGAATACCAACTGGAGGGTCAGCTATGAGTTGGTTTTGAGTTGAAGGCACATAACACCATATGACTGTATGAACAACAGATTGGAACCTTGACCTCTCCTGCTCATCCTCAACATCTCTGCCATACTCGTGCCTATGGTTATAGTCAGTTTCCACTTTTAACCTACTGTCTCGTAGTAATAGTTTTCTCTATATTCTTTCACATATGTTTTTGGTATATTGTTGGATACTGTCAAGTTGAGTCCCAATTGAAGAGATCTCTTATGACATAGGGGGACTACTCCATAAGGTTTTCTTGGATGTAATCTTAAGGAAACTTATTGAGAGGTTTTTCTGTGAAGCCAATAGGTGGGTTTAAACTGCCAACCTTTTGGTTAGCAGGCAAGCACTTAGTTATTGTGTCACCAAGTGTCTTTTAGAGAGAAAGACATAGCTAGAATTTTGTGTTAATGTGTAAGTGTTCATAAATGTCAATTTCTCAATAATATATAGTACTGCTCACTGTTTGAGAGCGATGCTATATCATAGAAATCTTTCCATGTATTCATGGTTAGATACTCAGATAAGATAATTAACTAGTTCATTTGCCAAATCTGTTGCCATTGATTCAGTTCTGACTCATTGAGACCATACGAGATGGTAAAACTGCCATGGGGTTTTTAAGGTGGTGGCAAGAAGCTGCGCTGCAATCCCAAAGGCACACAGTTCAAGGCCACCAGGTGCTCCACAAGAGAAGGATGGGCAATCTCCTCCCAAGTGATTAACTGCCTCTGACCCTCAGAGGGTCAGCTATGGGTCAATTCCAACTCAGTGGTACACAACAACAACAATAATCTTTGCAGAATCTGACAATAGCATTCTACTGATGAACATTTAGATTGTTTCTAGGTATAAGAGTCAAAGATAATGTGTTAAAAATGCTTGCCACATATCTGATGAGTTGTGACTATATTAACATCATAAGTGTTTAAAACTCAGAAGGTCAAGGTAGCTACTTTGAAAACGACCACATTTTATTTGAAATTTTATCTTCATTTGTAAGTTACCTTAAATCATATTAAAAATAAAGGGAAATTATTGTTTTTGTTGTTAGGTGTCATTGAGTTGAGCACAATTCATAGCGACCCTATGAACAGAATATCTAAACCCTGCTCTAACCTGCACCATCCTCACACTTCCTGACACACAAGAGCCCATTGCAGCAATCACTGTGTCAGTCCACCTGGTTGAGGTCTTTCTCTCCTTTGCCGTCCCTCCATTCTTCCTAGCAGCATGTCCTTTCCAAGGAATAGCCCCTCCTAGCAACATGCCCAATGGATGTGAGATGATGCCTCATCAGTCATGCCTCCAAAAAGCTCTCCATCTGCACTGTTTCCACTTCTATTTATTCTTTTGGTTGTCCATGGGATGTTCAGTGGTCTTCTCCAATGCCACAGCTCAAAGGCATCAATTCTTCTTCTGTCTTCTTTATTCATTGTCCAGCTCTCAGATGCATAGCAAGTAGTCAGAAAGACTATGACTTGAAACAGATGCACCTTAGTCCTCAAACTGACATTACTTCTCAATAATTTGGAGAGGTCCCTAACTGAAGATTTTCCTAGTGCAATGTGTCTCCTTATTTCCTGACTGCTGGTACCAAGAGTGTTAGTTGTTAATCTGCATGCTGAGCAAATTAGCCAAGAAGTTGGATTCTATGAAGAGGACTGTGGCATCGGGATTGGAGGGAGATTCATCAATAACTTGTTTTATGCAGATTACATAACCTTGCTTTCGGAAAGTGCGGAGGACTTGAAACACTTGTTGCAGAAGTTTAAGAAATGCAGCTTTGGTATAGATTGCATCTCAGTGTCATGAAAGCAAAGATTCTTACCACTGGACTGACAGTCAACATCATGATGGATGGAGAGGAGATTGAAACTGTCAACAGCTTCATCTTCCTTGGAGCCACAATTAACACCATTAGTTCCAGCACTAAGGAAAGGGAAATTAGGATTTATTTATCAACCCCCATGTAGTAGGTGCTAGGGAAGTAGAATAATCCATTCTTAAGATATTTATAGTCCACAGAAAGAAAGACAAATCAATGGATGAGATACAGTGTGACAAACCTGGATCGTATGGAAACATAGAAGAGGGGCATTTAAGGAGTTTTTAAAAATCCTCTCAGCTAATCTCATTTTTATCAAATAAAGAAACTGAAGCCATCATGTTATGTGACAAAGACCACACAGCCACTTAAATAGCAGAACTAACAAGAGGATAAACCTGGGTCCATCTAACTCAACTTCTGTGCTCTTTTTTTTTTTTGTAATAACGGAAAAGCATTTCTTTTAAACTAAGACTTATTTTGAAGACATAGCTAAACTTTGTTACCTTGCAGAAGGGTTAATACGATGATTATTACAGAGTAGACATGAACATCTTGAAGGATTGGAACCAACATTAACTGACAGAACAACTTCCTTTCAGGTCATCATAAAAATGTTTAAGAAGAAAAAGAGGAGTCTAGAACGAGGGCTGCATGGTGGAGGGGACCTGGGGGGGGTTTGTGGAACAATGAAAGAATCTTTTCTTTTACTTTTCCATAATTTTTGACTCATGTACTTATAACTTGTTAGTCAAATTTGTGTCTTCTAGGTTGCAACACCCCCATGATACATCTTCAAGGATATGAACATGTATGGCCAAGCACAATCAATAAGAGTGCATCTAAATTCCAAAATCAATCTCCATAATAGTCTATGTGTTTCCTACTGCCAAAGGGGCCCTTTAGAGTAGTGAGAGAAGATCTTCACCCTGAAACCCACAGCATCCCTTTTCAGCAGGAAGTAGCTAAGAGAATACGCCATCCCCTTTTCCTTATGACTCAGGGTGAAGTCTCTCTCAGGGAGGAGTGATAGGGAATGGCAAAGGACACACTGACAAAGAAGATTAATCAGAACTGGCTTTGACAAGCACTGTGGCATTTGGAGAAGAATAAACTGGGAGGAGGGTAGAGAGAATAGTGCAGCGGTGAATGAATGGAAACCCAAAATCTCTGTAAATGTTTATGAAAATTAATAAAATATAATTATGGAGAAAAAAAAAGAAGAAAAAGAAAGAAAAGGGCAATGGGGGTTTCAGATTTAACAAATCTCACATTTCATTTAATACATTAAGTCCTAGCTAGAGTGTAACAAAATGAAACAGGATGATAATTCGAAACTCCCACTACAGCACCCTGTACACACCTGTGTTCCAAGTGTCCCCATCCCACTACAGCACCCTGTACACACCTGTGTTCCAAGTGTCCCCATCCCCCTAATGTTTCCAACTCAACTATTTTCCCACCCTGTTGGGCCTGCAGATGAAGGAACTCCTTGATCCAGTCTTTGTTCTAAGACTCTTATATCTGGGTATCAGCTCAGTAAACAAGACAGCTGAGGTCTGCCAGATCATCAATAAACTCAAACAGCTGACTGATATCATATGTGATTGAAGGACTGTCGGAATTAATTATCTTATGTTCTTCATTTTACAAACACCTCCCATGCATTCATTCACAGATTCATAGTCTGCATTAAGTTCTCCCTTCTGGCCTCTTGGTAGGCTTTGCCAACAAAAGGGTGTGAGACATGGTGCGGGCTCTCTTTGGCTGCAGTTCCTGCCGATCCCCAACATCTGTGCTCTTCTTTTATATATTTATATTTAAATTTGAAATTATAAATGTTATTTTTTTAAATCCATAGTAGGCTTGGTACAATTTCTGATTTTAAAGTGGGACATTAATAGTTTCACCAAAAGTGCTAATAAGTAAGAAATACACTCTATTAAAATTTTGGGTTTTATCCATGTCTCATCACCTCAAGACCTCCTTCTATGTCTACTTCACGTTGTTTATTCATCATTTCCCTACTTCAGATACATGTAAGTTTTGTAAAGTCTTCTATCTTTAGAAGAATAAATTAGCAAAATTCTGTTTCTTTGCTCTTACGTCAGAATCTGAAAATGTTCACAGCTTTTAAAAATAGGTGGTTGAGCCTCAAGCTGCATTTACAGCTAACCTTTAAAAATAGGTGAAAGCAAAGTGAGTAGAAGAAGATTCAGAACCACAAATGTAATGACTAAAATACAATGTATTATATTTACAGAGTTAGATTGGATGGAGAAGGACTTTTGTTTTCCTGCTAAAAACATGTTGGAGATGGAAGAGCAAGGGCAAGCATGGAAGAACTTCTACTTGAAATTACCAAAAGTGGTGAGACTTTTTTTGTTTCTTTCCATACAAGAAAAAAAAAGTCAGTTACAGAATTTCTGCTTTGTAAACTTAGACTTTAAGTATAGAATACCAAATTTTTAATGGGAATAAAGTATAAAAATGTTAAATATTTAAGTTAAAACTTTTAGTACTTGTATAAATAAATCTAACAGGAAACTTGGCATAATACAAACTACAAACATCGTATCTGGTACGATGGTACACATCAAGTGGATTTTCAATATGGATTTATTGATTATATTCTCTCAGGAACTTCATGCCCACTTGAATGGATCTATTAGTTCTAAAACCATGAAGAAATTAATCGCCAAGAAGCCAGATCTTAACATCCGTGATCAGATGACCGTGATTGACAAGGGAAAGAAGAGAACTTTAGACGAGTAAGTTTGAGAAGATTCTGCGTATTCTCGTCTACCAGTATTTTGAGATTGTTTATTATTTAAAAAATAATATGTTAGTTGTTAAAGAAATAGATTACACGTGACTTTTTTTCAGTTGTCGTCGGTAATGTTTTTAGTGATGTATGTTGTTTATGAAGTTATACTGGAATAGTCTTCAGCCTTGAAAATACAGACTTTTGACTTCCTCCTTGTTTGCTGCAACTAGTATGGTGTAGGGAAAGGGGAGTTGTTATTTACCACTTAAAAATATCCCTAACATTTTATTTTCCATCACTTGCTTATCTTTCTGAATCAATGTAATTTTTGTGAAACCTGTTCTTTAGTTAGGGGCCTCTGGTAGCTTATTGGTCATGGTTCACATACACCAGCGGCTCTGTGGGAGAGATAGGCATTCTCTTCCTATGTGACATAATGCCTCTGAAAACCTACTGGAGGGTCAGCTATGGGTTGGTTCCGACTCGCTGGTATGTAACAACATTCTTTAGTTAGTTATAAATATATCAAGCTCAAGCTCATTCCTGTTGAGTACTCATAGCTGACCCCCTATCAAGTATTCAGAAGCTGTAAATGGCATGTGAGAAGTTTGCCTATCTTTTTCCTGTGGAGATACTGGTGGGTTAGAAATAGGACGTAGGGGCACAGGGCCATGAACGTCTTTCTAAAAAGGCCAGAGGAAGTGAGAATAACACAGCCCCTCACCACCCCGAGCAGAAAGCTGATAAAGAGCTTGTAGCCCAGCCCCATGGTGCCTGTAGAGCCCAAACAGCAGCAAGAGGTTCATTTATTCGTTGTTGACTCAGACTCAGTGTGGTACTGAGAGTGGGGCTTATTAGGGAAGGAAGTTGGAGAGTAGGGGAAGCAAAGACTATCACCCAATACAAGTCCAGGTTTTAGTCCAAGTTTCAAGGCACAGTTCCTCAATTGGTCCAGGCTCTGGTTTTAGTTCACTAGTCAAATCCAAATCTCCAGCAAGATTTGCCTCAAAGCAGTTGTAAGTCAGCTTCTCCTTCAAGCATCCAGCAAGAACTGCAAAAGCCTTTAACTGTGGCCAGCACAAATGCAAGAAGCTTTAGGTCACACCTTGCCACAGTTTCTCCATAGCAATGCTACAGTGTCTCCACCACTGCCAGGGTATTGCTCTCACCAGGGTCTTGTTTCAGTCTCCCTCATGCCTTGCTGCCTCAAGTCTTGCTACTACAGTCTTGCTGCTCAGTGTGGGAAGTACTCTTTGCAAGACCGTGTAACTGCAATTATAGTAGCTGGAGATCAGAGGGGGTTAACTGTAATGGCTAAAAAAGCCAACTTTTGGGCTAACACCACAGAGGTGCTTTTGGGTTAGCTGGACAACTTTCTATGGACTGTAATCATTAATCTAAAAACCTACGAATAAATTCAGCCTAGTAAGTTTCTTTAGGTGATAGATGTTTGATGACTATAGTATTTTAAAATTATCATTCATGTTGCAGGTGTTTCCAGACGTTTCAAGTTATTCATCGGCTTACAACTAGCCCTGAAGATATCCTGATGGTGAGAACTAAGGAATTTTTCAGATGGTTTAAAGTAAATTTTTTTCCCTTATTTTGTTGTACATGATATTTTGATTAAGGGTTCAATGAAAATTGTTTTCTCTCTTTTTCCTTTATGACAACTCTTAAAACCAGTGTAAGATATTTGCTCATGAGCTAATATAAAGACCATACTCATTGTGAAAACATGAGAAAAGAACCCAAACCAGCATCTCTTAAATAGAAGACAATTTGGAAGAGAAAATTTAGTTTTGCTTTTTATATATAACATATAATATGAAATATTTGGCTGCAAGTGAGAATGTCCTTAATAAGGCTTTATATGTATCGTATAAGAAGCCTTTTAACTGTCTGGGTAGACATTATAGAGAATTAATAAATTCAGCTTAGTGGTTAATTGCTAACATTGATACAGAGAAATTATGCCTCTCCTTTGGCAGTAAAAGATTAGAGGATGCCATTGTATTCGCTACAACTCCATGATGCTAGAGTCTATCGTGAAAGACTGATCTCTGACGTTTTGTAAATGTTGCTGTGTGCCATTGAGTCAGAACTGACTCATAGTTGACCCTCCAGTGGACTTTCAGAAACTGTAAATCACATAAGAGGAGATTTTCCATCTTTCTCCCATTCTTTGTAAATAGAAGCAAAGTGTTCATAGTGTTCTTAGCCATTAAGAAAAAGTGCAAAGTAAAAAGTACAACCTAAAAAAATTTTTTTTTAAAGTAAAAGTACAGGGGGGAAAGGGGGAGGGGTTTGTGCGGGGAGAAGGGTGCAACAATGAATGAATGGAATCCCAAAATCTGTAGATGTTCATTGAAATGAAAAATAAACAACCTAAATTTTAAAAAAAAAAAAGTACAACCTGAGTTCCTAGAGAATTGACCTTTAACTTATTAAGAAAGAGTTTTCCTCCATGGCCTAGATTGATCCTCATGATGAGTTAAATGAATTACTTTTTGGAGAAGAATTAACTTTATTTCAATAACAGCTGATTTAGTGCCTACAGTGTTCCAGACATTGAGTTAAGTACAAGAAGATAGGTTAAATACTAGAAGACGTATAAATGAGCATGACTCTTTCCCCTAAGGAATTTATTGTCAGGTTGAAGAGAAAGGCCTTAAATATGGAAATTCAATATAACATAGTCACCTCTGTCCTGGAGACATGCACAGAAATATATAGGAACTCAAAGGAACATTCTCTAATCGGCGACAGATTCTATAATTACTACTAGGAACAATATTCACTACAGAGACTTTAGTCTGACTTTTTCTTATTTAGCAAAATTTAAAAAATTTTACATTCTGAGAGTTTAATACTCTGTGGGTATGATAATATTGGGTTCGTTATTTATGTCTTTTCCAAGTTAGTGATTAACTTTATTAAAATGAGTCATGGAATTAAGATTTTCTACCCAGTACTGCTGGAATGAACTTTCTAAGTGGTTTGCCAAGTAAAATACACATGTGAACCAGCTGTGGAAGAAAAGCAAGAAGTTGTTCATCTGTAAACATGAGACTGAACTTGTGGGAATCACTCAAATCTCCAAGTTCAGATCATCTGGGTATAATCTCAGAGAGACAGAATTGGAATATAACTGAATCATTACGTTTCCCAACCTACATAGTTGAGACTAGACCTTGGATTACAACAAATTCACCATCTCATTACACACCATCTACACAATCATCCAGCTTTGTTCCTTTTCCAGGACACTGTGCTTGAGCTTCAGATAGAGATTAAGTTCCCAACAGCATCGCCAGTTTGGTACTTTTTCTATATTTGGTCTGTTTTAGGATTATTGGTAGATTCCCTTAGCCTTTACATTTTTGTTTACTTTGGTATTTCAGTAATGTTTAGGTGACATCATCATGAATGGAGAGGAGACTGAAACTGTCAACATCTTCATCTTGCTTGGATCCACAGTTAACACTCTAGCAGTCAGGAAATAAGGAGATGCTTTGAACTGGGGAAATCTGCAGTTAGGGACCTCTCCACATTGTTAAGGAGTAATGATGTCAGTTTGAGGATTAAGGTGCATCTGATTCAGGCCATAGTTTTTCTGATCACTTGCTATGCATCTGAGAGCTGAACAATGAATAAGGATGACAGAAAAAGAATTGAAGCCTTTGAGCTGTGGTGTTGGAGAAGAGCACTGAACATCCATGGATGGCCAAGAGAATGAACACATATGTCTTGGAGAGGGTGCAGCTGGAGTGCTCTTTGGAGGCAAGAATAATGAGGCTTCACCATACATACTTTGAGCATGTGTCTAGGAGAGGCTATTCCTTGGAGAAGGACATGGTGCTGGGAAAGGTAGGTAGAGGGTTGGCAAAGGAGAGGATGACCCTCGACCAGGTGTATTGACATGATGACTGCTGCAATAGTCTCTTGTGTGTCAGGAAGTGTGAGGATGGTGCAGGATAGAACAGGGTTCAGGTCTTTTGTTCCTGGGGTCGTTTGACTTGATGGCACCTAACAATAACAACAAGTGGCCTACAGCTCCTATAGTGGGTTGTACTGCTAACCTGAAAGCCACAACTCTATAGCTTTTTGGAAGAAGAATGAGCAGTTTCTTGCTTTAGGATTTATAGCCTTGGAAACCCACTGGAGGGTTAGCAATGAGTTGGTTCCCACTCTATGGCAATGAGAGAGAAAATTTCCTACAAATTGGACATGTTTATCACCTAATTATCATATATTTATCACCCAATTTTTATGATTAAGAATTTTTCCTGTGTTTTAATCCTACTTGACGAATTTATTGACAAATAGAACAATGTGACTTATCCTAAAAAGGTGAAGAAGAGCCTTCAGCTCCACTTGAAATGGTACCTCAATACTACCTAATCATTTTAGCTATTTTTGTGTGTACCTTTTTTAGCACTGCTCAGACGTGTGGTTTTAACTCACTTCAGTTTTACCTCATTTCTGTTTTATAAGCAGTAGTAAATGCTGGAATATAGAGAAGTGGGTGAAAGGTGGAAGCAGAAATAAAAGGTGTGGATAATGCACTGAATTGGATTGAATAGATAAATGAGGTGGTTATAGGAACTTTTGGAAATGCTGCAGCTCAGTTAGGTCAAGTCTCCTCCAAAGCAGCAATAAAGCAGGTACCGCTACCATGTGGAAGACTTGAAATAGTGTTTTTCAATCATATTTCCGGAATGCAATAAAGCTGTAACATTTGGCATTTTAATTGGGACTTTTATATTAACATCAGTCTTGTGTATGTTGCCTTTATTATCAGGTTACAAAAGATGTTATTAAAGAATTTGCAGATGATGGTGTCAAGTACCTGGAACTAAGGAGCACACCCAGAGGAGAAATTGCTACTGGTAGGATTTGATTACTTCCTAGAGGATTGCATGATCTCTTTACTGGGTGTTTTGGGCATTCATGTGTCTGCGTGTGCAATTTGGAAATATATGCACTTTTACACCATTGTATTATTCTCTATTTCCATGAGCGCAGTCCAAATTGGTTTTTCTGGGAATAGATGTACATTAATGAGTGAATTATGTTTTAACTAAGACGTAGAAAATCAGGTCAGACATATGTGTTAAAAAAGTAGGGAGAAAAATAAAGACCTTCAAAGATTATTTTTATCCTTGTTTTGTAAACTCTAAGAGAAAAGCATTTACTGCTTAAAGCAGAATTGTCTCTCAGTAGAAGCTAATTCTTGCGCCATGCATCAAAAAACTCATAAGACAATACCACTGAGTGCATGCTGAATCATATTTTTTAACAGCTACCAAAATAGAGTTGATTTCAGATACTCGTCAGGAACCAGAAGTTTTATAGGCCAGAAGCAAGCTGTGATGTAATGTGATAAAAGGACTCTGAATGGAGATGAGCAGATCTGATGTCTGGAGATAGTTCCTAGGACTCTCTTTCCCTAAAGAGAGAATCAGAAGATTTTAATAGTGTCATCGGATCCCTCTTGAGATCTTGACCATGACTTGAAGAAACCATACTAGGTTATCTCATACCTTGACAAGTGGTTTATTATAACCTGATAAACATTGAGAGATAAAATTTGGAAACTATTTTTAATAAAATAAATTGTTAAATAATAACAAAGAGAAGATTCTTATCTTTCATTTTTAAACTATAGAATTCATTCAAGCAATACTGATGTGGACACTGTCAAGAAGGACAATAAAAACTAATAGAACTGGTTTACTCCTTTTGGGAATGGAGATTCAAAAGAAAAATATTAGCCTAAGTATACAGCAGTAGGAGATGCTTAAATAAATGTTGTACAATCATTAATAATACTTGCAAGGATACTTTAATGACAGGGAAATGCCAGAATATCATGCTAAATGGCTAAGAAGAATATATATATTCTCAGTAATATCTGTTTAAAATGTATGTATGCATAAGTTTAGAAGAACAAAGACAGGTTATCTCTAGGTGATGGGATTACACTTTATTTTTATTATTTTTTTCTCTAATTTTCTGTATGTTACTTATGATTTCCCAACAAAAGAGGGAATTTTATATTCAGAGGAAGAAGCTATTTTAGAAGAGATTGTTCTGGAGAGCCTCCTTCAGAGTCTTCCAGAAAGGGAGGAATTGGGTGCCAAGCTTAGAAGAAACACTGAGTCTGAGCGGAATTGAAAAGAAAAGCAATCTAACATAGGATTTATCTGGCTAATAGAGAAATTTCTTATCCTACTAACAGAGATAAGAAGTTGTTGTTGTTATGTGCCATCAAGTCGCCTGCGACTCATAGCGACCCTATGTACAACAGCCCTAAACTCCGCTCTGTCCTGTGCCAATCACACTGTCTCTGACACTCCCATCCTAATTATCCCAGTCACTGAATCAATCCACCTCATAGAGGGCCTTCCTCTCCTGCGCCGTCCCTCCACCCTCCCAAGCATGATGTCCTTCTCTAAGGACCGGTGTCTCCTCACAACATGTCCAGAGTAAGTTAGACGGAGCCTCAGAATCCTTGCCTCCAAGGAGCCACCCGGTTTAACCCTTTCCAGGACAAATCTGTTTGTTTTCCTAGCAGTCCATGGTATTCTCAATACTCTTCTCCAGCACCACAGCTCAAAGGCATCAATTCTCCTTCAGTCCTCCTTGGTCATTGTCCAACTCTGATGCATAACAGGTGATTGCGAAGACCATGGCATGTATCAGACGCACCTTAGTCTCCAGAGAGACACCACTGCTCTTCAGCACTTTGGAGCAGTCCCTAACAGCAGACTTTCCCATGGCAATGCGCCTTTTAATTTCCTGGCTGCTGGTGCCAAGACTGTTGACTATGGAGCCAAGCAAACTAAAGCTGTGTACAATCTCAATCTCTTCACCATCCATCCTGATGCTGCCAATTGGTCCAGTGGTGAGAATCTTTGTCTTCTTGACATTGAGCCTCAATCCATATTGTAGGCTGCAGTCCTTGACACTCTGCAGCAGGTGCTTCAGGTCCTCTTCAGTTTCAGCAAGCAGGGTTGTGTCATCTGCATAACGCAGATTGTTGATAAATCGTCCACCAATCTTGACCCCACATTTCTCCTCATAGAGCCCAGCCTCCCGGATAATCTGTTCTGCATATAGGTTGAAAAGGTATGGAGATAGGATGCATCCCTGGCGTACGCCCTTCCCGATTTTTAACCATGCAGTGTTCCCTTGCTCTGTTCTGACGACTGCCTCCTGGTCCAAGTATAAGTTTCGCATTAGAACGATCAAGTGTTCTGGGATTCCCATTCTTCTCAGAGTCAGCCACAGTTTGTTATGATCTACACAGTCAAATGACTTTGCATAGTCAATGAAACACAGCTAGACATTCCTCTGGTATTCCCTGCTTTCAGCCAAGATCCATCTAACATGAGCTACAATATCTCTAGTACCACGACCCCTTCTGAAACCAGCCTGGACTTCTGCTAGTTCTCTGTTGATGTGCTGTTCCAGTCGTTTTTGGATAATCTTCAGTAAAATCTTGCTTGCATGTGAAATCAGTGAAATTGTAAGATATTCCTTAATAATTGGAACCTAGAATGTATGAAGTGTGAATATAGGAAAACTGGAGTACTGAAAAATCAAATGGAACACATGAAGCTTGACATTTAATGCATTGTTGTTAGGTGCCATTGAGTCAAGTAAAACCTACAGTGACCCTTGGAACAACAGATCTGAACTTTCCCTGTCCTTTACTATCCTCACAATCTCTGACATACTCAAGCCCATTGCTGCAGTCACTGTGTCAGTCCTTCTGGTTGAGGGTCTTCCTCTCTTTTACCAATCCTCCACCTTTCCAAACATGATATCCCTCCGTAAGGAATAGCCTTCCGTAGCAACCTGTATGTGAGGCAAAGCTTTATCATCTTTGCCTCCAAGGAACACTGGCTGTACTTGCTCTATGACATGTCTGCTGCTTCTTTCGGAAATCCATGGATATTCAGTGCTCCAGCACCACACCTCAAAGGCATCAGTTCTTCTGTCATCCTTATTTGTTGTCCAGCTCTTGGACACATAGCAAATGATTGAAAAGACCATTATCTGAATCAGGCACACCTTTGAATAATCAGTCTTCAATGCATTATGCATTAGTGAGCTGAAATGCACTGGTATTGGTAATTTTTAAACAGGCATATGATCTGCTTTACTAGGGATCAAAAATTGAAGAAGATTGGTGTTGTATTAATTTAAGAAAAAAGGTATATCAGGACCTGTTCCTGAAGCACAGTCCTGTCAATAATAGGATAATAACCATATTATTCAAGGAAGACTTGGTAGTACAACTACTCAAATATAAGTGTCAACTGCTAAAGCCAAAGTTGAAGAGTATTACTAACTACAGTCTGAAATTGATCTAGCATGCATCAAGATGTGTTATTAATAATTGATGACTGGAATGTAAAAGTTAGAAACAAAGGCTGGTAATTGGAAAATATGGCCTTGGTTACAGGGATCACATGATAGAATTTTGTACAATCAATGAATTATTAATTGCAAATACCTTTTGAAGAAACAGAAATGGTGATTATACACATGAACATTACCTGATAGAATACACAGGATTCAAACTGATGACATCTGAAGGAGCTCTGGTGGGCTAATGGTAAGGATATGTGCTGCCAACCCAAAGACATAGTCTGACTCCACCAGTAGCTCTGTAGGAGAAAGATGGACAGTCTCCTCTCAGATGATTTACAACCACTGAAAACTTGCTAGAGGGTCAGCTGTGAGTCAGTTCTGACTCCACAGCACACAACATCCACCACCGTGGGAGACTTGCTATTAACAGGTGAGATAAGGCTGGGAACCCGCAGTTGAGCAGACTATCCATTACTCATATCCAAAATTAGATTTGATGCACTTAACACTAATGATCAAAGATTAACTAGTTGAGGGATGACATCAAGAATACCATCCATTAAAAACACAAAAGGTTAAAAGCTCATTTGGCCCTAAATTATAAACCCACATTCTCTACTCTTATTAGGAATAAAGCTGGTATTATAACTTTTTTAAAAAAGTAAATGAGTTAAATTTTTTTTAAAATTCCATTTTGTTCTACAGAAGCAAATCTATGGCAGTTAAGTAATAATGTTTGCTTAGCATCCAGTTCTTTACTGAGGTATAATAATCATAACTGTGAATATGGTATAATTAGATTGAAAGGGAAAAGGTTTTACTTCTCTATTAAAATTGTGTGATTTCTAAAAAAAGAAAGCTAGGAAAGAAAGGAAAGACCAAAATGGATGTCAGAAGACACTGTAAAATGTGCTCTTCTTCAACATCGAGAAGTTAAAGCAAATGGCAGGAATGATAAAAGAGCTGAACAAAAGGTTTTAAAAGGTAGCTTGAGAAGGCAAAGCAAAGTATTGAAATGAAGTGTACAAACAGCTGGAGTTCAAACAAACAGAAAAGGTGGAGTTCAAAGGCCACAAGGAAAGAACATACTTGGCATTTCTCAAGCTGAAAGGACTGAAGAATAAATTAAAGCCTCAGGTTGCAATACTGAAGAAATTCTATGGGCAAAATAATTAATGATGCAGGAAGCATCAAAAGAAGATGGAACCAAACAACATATGCTGGTAAGGTTGTACAGAAACTGGAACCCTTATTCACTGTTGGTGGAGTTTAATATGGGGCAACCACTATGGGAGGCAGTATGGTGCGTTTTCAGAAAGTTGCAAATAGAAATACTGTTTGACCCAGCAAGTCCACTACTGGAAATACACTCCAAAGAAGCCATAACCAGCACCCGAGCAGGTATATGCACACCCATGTTTATCATGGCTTTGTTCACAATTGCAAAGAGTTGGAAACAACCTAAGTGCCCATCAACAAATGAATGGATAGAGGAGCTGTGATATATTCACACAATGGAATACTATGCTGCAGTGGAAAACAAGGAACTTATGAATATTATTCAAAATGGAGGAAATTATGCTGAGTGAAATATCTCAGTCACAAAAGGACAAATACTACATAGTGCCACTGTTGTAAGACAGGACTGACATTGGGGTTGGGAGAGACTGAGAAAGATGGGATAAAT